GAGTAAATTCTGCTGTTTTCGCAACCTTCAAAGTGGAAAATCTTGTTGATCACGCTATTCATACTATGCTATCATGATCACAGTAGATTCACACGTTAGAGTACTCGTTCCCAAAGAACTTCTATTACCGAATTATACTTCTTGGGATGCAGATTTTCCAATATATACGACAGTAGATTGCATTCGTTTGCAATTTTTGCCATATGCCCCGCAGTGCAATTTACCTTCACAAGGATTACAAAACCGTTCGACAATTACCCGAGGATCACTGTTCAACTGCAGATAGTGGACTGTGAGTACATTGAGTGGCTCCTCGCCAGTTGCTGTTGTTGACAGATACATCTCCAAATCCTGGGCAAGTGCGCTCAACGTCAGGACCGCTGGACTAGACTCAAAGAACACGACAATATTCTTCCAGCCCTTTCGTCTCAGGAATATGTTCAAAGATCGAATAAGTGTAGGGTCCTTTAGATTCACCGCGAAGGCGATCTTTTCTGAGTGGCTGGATAGAAACTTCTGAGAATGCCTAAAAGACTTGACATTTTGGCAGAGATAGCTGATCTCATAGAGGTTTCGGTGGGCTTCAGATGAGTCGGCTGCGAGGGCGATCCAATCAGTGATGAAGTGGCAGTTGCTTCCAAGTCGTGGGCCCAAGAAAACGGAATGACCAGCACTGGAGTTTGCCGGGAGCCGAGCCTTTCTCGGGAAGCTAATAACACTGGAAATGTGTGCCGCTTCAACTAGGCTACAGCTGGCGACAAAATTTAAATTATAATTACCTTCCTTTGATGCTAGTTGACCATTTGTTTGGGCCGATGCGTAGCTGATTGTAGTCGAGATTGTCTCTGAGGTATTGTAAGCCCTCCCCTCTGGCCAGCATGCCTGATCGATGTCCCCAAGGTAGAGATTTAACCTTGCCACCGGCAGTGCCATGGCCGAGGTTAAGATCCACATCCAACAGACTGCGTCAAGAGTGCACACCATTTCGAAGTCTTGTTCCAACCACAGATGCCATAGCTCGCCTGCTGTGCAGAGAACTGTTTGAATACGAAGAGATTGACGTTTTGGGCGTCACCTTGTCTGAAACGTAAGTGGTTCGCCCGTGAAGGATGATAGTTAAAGTTCGAGGCATACGCAAAGAAAAGTTCGTCATCTCTTATTTTTCTTCTTTCTTGCTGCATTGCATACGCGAAAATGCAACGCTGGGTTTTTGATTTTAAAAAATTAGTTAAAATTATTTTTGGTTAATGGAGGCACACTCATTTGCTGCCAGCGGCAGATTTTCAACTAAAAGCTCGCTATTAAGGTAACTTGGTTTTTAACTAGAGAAATGGTCCCGATGATAACCTCGGAACAAACATTTCTGAAATATTCACATCCTTAAAAACGAAAAACGCAACTAATTGTGCAGGTTAACTCCTAAGCTAGCAAAATTGGGAACATAATTCCAAAATTCGTAAGCCAATGACTAAAACTTTCCGATAAGAGTCACGACTGTTCTGTAGTTTTATTATAGCAAACTTTCTAATTGCTACCTTCAATAAACCATGGAAAGAGGCAAACTGTGCAGAGATCCGTCAGCAAAATATCTCATAAAAGCGCTTCTTAGGGAGATAATTTAAATACATTATTGCGAGTCCTGCAAACAATTTGCCTATGTTTGTAAACGTTTGATTATTTCTCCCATACCAACGAGAAACCACTTACGAAAACTTATGAATAATAATGAGCAGCATTAGGCTAAACTACCAAGTTAAATTTCGTCATGAAAAATGTTTGCAGGACTCGCAGGACTGAGCAGAATAAACGTCTACAAACGAACTTCGCAATTTATGTGCTTAAAATAATTCAAGAGGGTACTATTGTAAGCTAAATTGTCATCTTGATTAGGGAGAACGTCCCGCAGCCCACTATATTGCTGAATGCTTTTGAAAAACATAATATTTTACTTGTTCTCCAAATAAATGAAATTGAATCTACATTTATGTGTAATCAATTAAAAACCTGAAAATCATGAGGTGTTAACCGCTCTTTCGAGTGAGAGACGAAGTTCATCTTAATCCAACAAAATAAATGCTTTACTGAACTTTGGCGAAAGAAAAGCGCTCTTAGTGTGTAAAAAAGTGTATGTTTACGATTGGGCCCGACAATTCTGTGTAGATTTACTAGTAACTGGCCAGTCCGTCAACAAATGCCATTATGAAAAATATTATTCCCACGACCTTCTATAAAGGAAAGCAAGCAAAACCACTTCGCTTTAATTAAATGCATCTCAAACAATCTAAGTGTTGTAGGAAAATAAATCAGTCCGCTCTCATACGCTGGATGGGCAGTAGTAAGTAAATTGTGATATTACAGTAGCTGGGGTAACACACGAAACCCAAGTAATTTAACAAGAAAACCCCAATTACGCAAACGCAGTTCACCTTCCGTCCCCAAATTCTTACAACAGTAAATCAATGGTCTTTTTCCGAAATAAGACATATTGTGATTTATCAAGTAAAATTACGTTGTTTAGAAATAACAGTTTAGTTAAAAAATATGAAAGTTTCGTAAAAGTGGAAATCGGACTTACTAGGGAAACTCCAGTTTTAAATTTAGAGAAAGCCTGTTTATGCAAAAAATACGAGTGAATTAAGCAGCACAAGTAGAATGCTTTTGGAAAATAATCATTTTGTAAAGTGTTCGGATGCATACGCTTCCATATTACGTGCAATGTAACGTATGGCTGTTACCGAACAGTCCAGAATCTGAGTATGTATTTACTTGTCAGATGCAATCGTAAACGTACCATTTTGAGTACACTAAGCGAGATTTCCTTCGGTCACGTTTCTTTTTCATTTTTTCAGAATTTTGATTATGACAATAATCAGATTTTCCTTGAAATGGTGGTTAAAAGGTTACGATTTTCAGTGGTTTCAGTCGGTAATCCATAAATAAGGATTATGTTCTACATGCTTACCAAAGCCTTTTTAATGATATATTTTTAGACGCATCTACCTTAATAGCGAGATTTTGACATTCTTTCTAATGCACCTGCCTGTTTGGATAATGGTTTCAGAATCACCTGAACATGTCAACTCACTGCCAAAAGAAAATTATTTCCATTTCAAACTTCAGGTACAAATATGCTTGGGATCAATTAAAAGGCTTTTTTATAACAAGTTACTTCCTGAAAAAGTGCTCAAATTAAGTATTTTGGCGTCAAGTATTTTCGTAATTTACCTTTATCAAACATTAAGGAAAGATAAACATGACAAAGTATGACCGGATTTGGCTTTTCTGAGCTTGAGGAATAAATGATCTGCTGAAGATGAAAGTACTTACATTTCTGTATATACTGGAGCAGTTTTCCATATAGTTCTTTACTTTTGAGCCGCGTTCTTAGAATGCGAAGGCACAACGGAGTGGCAAAATATAGTATGATTCTGCTAATACTGAGAATCTTCTGTCCGTTCCATTTAAAGTTTCCCTATTTGTTCATACTGAACTGTAGATAGAAAACCTTTGGACATCTTTTGTATACGGCTTGACAGATAAAACTGCAGGCACGTCTCGGATGCCTATATGTGTGCTTGTTTACGGTCGTTTTCGGTGCGGTTTAATAAATTACAGCCTTATACAGTATGGTGCAGAAATAGAGTAACTTTCATGTTGAAAGTTGACTCGGTGAATTAGCATATAGTTGCTCCCGTTATTTTGATTCACTGAGTAGATTTAATCCTGAGAAAGTCTTTTAGTTAGGAAAATTGCCCTTTCAGTTAAGCTTATCAAGGGTAATGGGCATTCATATTGGTGAATGCAATAATAGATTCGTAACACAACATTTGTTTTACCATCCTGGTATTTAGGACCATAAACTTGACATATAAACGGGAACGCGCGACATACTTTCACTCTTCCGTGTTAGGCCGCGCCCTGAAGATGTTAAATTATTTTCTATCTGAAGCCGATTTTGTCTTCATACGAAATTTGGCAGTCAAAGGGCTGCTGCGTTAGGCATGAACTAATATGTTTGAAATAAGCAAGGCCACATTATCTAGAATTATTAACTGTAACACAGTGCCTGCAAGTAAGAATCGTGGACAAACACGGTCCACAAGAAAACAAGCTGACGAATTTATTCGCCGAACACTAAAAAATATCATTATATGCCCGTTTAAGCTATTAACAGGGAACAGTTTTCAATGTTCCCTCGGACCCTAGTTACAAGCAGAATGCGGAAATTCGGCCACTGTCAGCAGAGGGCTATGGTTAAGCCATTCTTAAGTAGGAAACTTATTAATGAACGTTTCCTATTTGCTCAGGAATACGTTAGTCGTACGCTTTCGTTTTGAAAAAGTATTTATTATTGTGATGAAGTACTCTTCTTAGACAAGTTTACAAATTCGGTATATGCGGAAAGAACTTCCTCAAAGAACACACTGTGTCGACACCAACATCTAAGAACTATCGAAGCCTCGTGGTTTGGATGGTGATCAAGTTCGGTGAGTGACCAATCTGGCGGTCGACAAAACATATCATTAACAGCCAGGTATATGTTAACATTGTCAAAGATGCCTTCGGTTAAAATGGCACTAACAGGCTTGGAATGGGCATTGTCATGCTAAAAAACAATGCTCCTGCTCACTAATCAAAGGAGGTATGACTAAAATTTACCTTACGACTGTAATCTAACATTTTAGACTACAAACACCTTTTCTTCCTGCGGCCTGCAAACTATTTCTATTCCTCCAAACAGTCTGAACCTCAAAACAACTGCAAGCCTCTTTGCTTTAATTAAAAGAAACTGAGAAGCCACCGAAACCTATTTCAATGGAGCAGAAATTCCAGTTCGACCTTAATAATTGTATAGGCCAAACCACCATTGACAACATGGTTGTCTCTATGCCCTCCCGAATTACTGTTGTTCTAAACGGTATACGACAATCCACAAAATATTAGTATGTTACATATTTATTGCTTTTCCTTATTTTGTCGTTTAATCTTACTTTCTTCCACTTTTATCAGTTTTATAACGACTTTTTGTCATTGACCTGTCCTACAGCCCTTTCTTTCGATTTCGAAGTTTTCCGTAAAACCAATTAGTTTTTAGGCAATAAATGATGCCCTGTTTGTCAAAATATGTCTCCTTTTAAGGACTTATTCTAACCTTTCGCGCAGTATAACTTGCAGTCCGTTGGAAAAACGCTTTGCGAGCTGGACGAGTTTTCATGCAAATTTTGACGGTGTTTCGCAAACTTTGGGCCATACTGTAAGTATATTACTTAAATCTGTAGCGCAAACGTAGCAGATGTGCAAAACCGATTTTTTCAACTGAATCCGCTCTTCTTTTCCCGAAAATAATATATTTGCACTTACCTTCATGTCATGAACGCAAAACGAAATTTTCTGTGCTCTGACCAGATCTAATTGAAATCTTTCCGTTCTGTGTTAATGTTCCTTTATGGTACAATCAGTATGAGCAAGTGTTGTTCCGCAGCGTTTAGTAGCATAGGAAATTCCTTGGATATAAGGGAACGTTGGAGTTGGCCAGCCCTGACTAATCAGTAGTGATTTTTTTTTTTACCTTCATTTTCCCCAGAAGAGGAAGAAGAAGTGGAGGCG